ACAGTTTGGGGAAGTTAATAAAGATCTTTTGAAAAGTTGTAAACACTTCTAGTAAAATGACATCGCCTTTCATTTGTGCTGTAATGTGATCTAAATCAATCTGATTGATTTCCTCCTAATTCTGCAATGAACTAGACAGAACTACCAAGTCATACAGAACTCTAAGGCTGGGTATCCAAGGATGAATAAGATACAAACCCTACCCACAAAGATCTCACAGCCAGAAGAGAACAAACTTGGGTGTGTTTATGTGTATTTCTGTCTGCCTCCCTGGACGTTTCCTGGGTGATGTCTCTTCTGATATCACAATGGGCTCATCTGTTCATTCCTTTCTGGTGTTCTTAGTCAATATGTTCACTTTTGCCTACAGTCAATTCTTCATAATGATGCTTGCTTTACTTGGTTAAAAAAAAAGTAGGACACACTCTACATTCAGAAAGTGCTTTGCCAGCTCTTTAATTGGTTCCTAGTTGAACCTACTTACTACACGATGGATGAAGAATCTCTTCTATGAGTAAGAGAGCAAGTGAAGAAGTTACACAACACACTTGAAGCCACAAGTCTGTAATTAGCCACCACATTTTTAACTGATCCCTAGCCTACTGGCTTACTTAGTCTTTCCCAAACCATCACCATTTTGAAGTCAGAGAGCCAATGCTCAGTCACTGTGAACATGTGTTCGGTGAGCGGTACACAAACTAACATAAGGTTACCTTCACGTTGTCTCTCTCTCTTTTTTTAATTGAAGTCTAGTCAGTTACAATGTGTCAATTTCTGGTGTGCAGCACAGTGTCCCAGTCATGCATATACATACATATATTCCTTTCCATAATCTTTTTCATTACAGGTTGTCTCTTAAACCTAGGAAATGGAAAACAACTCTCGTATGAAATGTTCCCAGGAGTCCGTGGGGGGAGAGAATCAAGTAAAACATGCCTAAATTTCCTACCAGAATTTCATCTTAAAACTCTAACAAACCCCAAAACACTGGGACTGATGATGGAACTTTGCTTCAGTTAAAGGAGAGCCTTGGCTTGAGCTCTCCCTTGACCTATCACACACATGCAGTGAAAACACTGCCTCATCATGGCTTTGTCTCTGCTGCTTATTATCCAGCAGTTGGTCATGTTTCCTCTTCAACTTAAAAACTGTAGAAAAAAATACTCCTATTTCCTCCAAAAGAAATAAACTCAGACAAAGGTCAGAGTCATGTGTTCCATGGAACCTGCTCGCTGTAGAGCAAAGGGCGAGGCAACTGGCTTGAACCGGAGAGCACCTGGCCCCCGAGCCAGCACTGAGAGTCCGGGGCCATGTCCCCCATCTCCATGTTTTCAAAGCAAGGCAAGACCCTTGTCATTGAAGACCCTTTCCCACAGCTTTGGTGAAAGAGGCTTTGTATGTGCATTTAAATGCTGTATTTGAGTATTTGTGAACAAAACCGTAGTCCCCTCTGTGGGAATTCTTTTCCAGAACAAAGGCAGATTTTCTCCCTTGTTTATGGAGACCAGGCTGCTCCAGAAGAAAGGAGCTTCCTACACCCTTCCTATATAACTTCCAGTTCCATCCATTGCTTTTCCATCATCTTGTCACCATACTTTTGCCCAGTCCCTCGCTATCGCTTATCTCTTGCCTTGTAAGCAAATTTACATCTACTTACTCTACCCTTTATAATCACCCTTCTGTTGTAAAACACAGATTTGAGCCCCTGGCTTCATTGTTTAAAACTATACACACACACACACACACACACACACACACACATACATTAAGCATGATTATGTACCCTAAATCCATACCTCATTCTTCATATTAATTAATGCATGAATCCAGCAAATACTTGGTGAATGAGTAAGGCACTCGGAACTTTAAGTCATGGATGGTATAGAGCTCAGGATGCAGAAGGGAGGTTAGGAGTGAGGGGGAATTGAGGATGGGATGAAGGTATCGCTTATCTTTTGCGCATTATATGCTAATGAAAGATGCTAAAAGTGAAAAAAAATTAGGAGAGCTGCAAATGTCTTTTGTGCAAAAAAATTCCCATTATTAAGATGATTGTCAAAACACAGCATTTTAAAAGGCTTTATATTGTATTTTACTTTGGTTCCATGCTAGTAGTTAGAATAGGAAGTTGGATTGTTAAGGAGAGGTGGAAATCATGTGTTATTTATTATTATATTCCTCACCACACTTAGCACAGTGCCTTGGACGTAGCAGGTTTGCGAGAAAAAAAAAAAGATTTTGTGAAAATTATTTGCCGATGTGAGCTTAATACAATGAAACTGGGTTTGAAAATGTAAATAGTATAATTTCCACTAGTTTTCAAAAAAGGATGATCTCTAAAGTTTTGGTTAAATCTGAGTTCTTATCATTTAAACAAGGAGAAAATATTTCTCAAAGGGTGTTGAACTCAGGATTGTACAACACAGAATTGTTTTTAGTGTGAGTCTCTATATCACATACACATTATTCACATGGCAGTCCACACCGATGCGGTGGTGAAAGAGGATGGTTATTTGAGGAGGGGACAATTCTGCTTTATTTATGCAGCAGGAGTAAGTCTTTGGAACTGAGATGAGGATAAATTATGGAGGGACTAGGCAGTTGCTCATGTTCCCAGTTAGAAAGCAGGGCAGACGCATAGAATATGACATGTGGGCTTCTGCTTTCTGGACAGCTTGTTGTCTAGAAAGATTTCTCTACCTCACACGATACATACATAACTTAGCGAGCTCGTGCACAGAAAGAATATCAGCATTCCACAGGCTGGCCCACCTGTTTGGAACATAAATTTAGCTGCTTTTGAAGACAATGTCTCTTCAAGTAAGGAATCCTGTCGAGCCTATTCTGTTAACATGAAATTCCTTCCTGTAGATTCGACTACCCTTTCACCTCTTAATCCTTTCATTGCCAAGATCCTTTACTATAAGTTACTACTATTCTTGTTTATATGAAGTCAATAAAGGAGCCAGTGGCTGTTTCCAGAAAATCTCAGCTCTGCCATTCCTCCAGCAATAATCAGGTGCTCAATACGTTGACAGAGGAATGTGAAACTACTGGTCCACAGAAATATTCTTGAAGTGTTTCTACAGCAGTGTTGCTGGACTCTCATCAACCTACCTAACAAGGATTTCCTTCATGCACTTTGTTGAATACTTGATTACAGGACAGCCATCAGGGACAAATCCAGATGAAAGCTCTTCCCTCAATGGAGCTTAGACTCTGATTTCCAGGAACATACATCTGTACTTTTGTTGTGGTTTATAGGAACATATATCTACACCTTTGTCATGGTTTACTGTTGGTGGTCATGTTTGGGTAAAGTTGTCATGAAAGGGTGTGGAACCAGCAACTCCTGCTGCTCCTTGTGTCTGGAACATCCTTTCCTCTGGTCTTTTCCACACTGTCTTCTCATCACTCAAGTGTCAGTTCAACTGTCCACCTCCTTTGACTGATCTTCTTGGATTGCCCCATCTAGAGCTGCCAACCCTCATAGCTTTCATTACATCAGATTACCCTGTTCTGTTTTCTCTGAAAGACATGCCTATAATTGGTTTATGTATTCATCACTTTGTATGTAATATAAAATCCATAAGAGCAAACAAGTGCTTGGTGTGGGTTGCTCATGACTGAATCCCCAGTGACAAGTAAATTGCCTAACACACATGCTGAATCAACAAGTGAAACTTGATGTCATGGTACTCCAAAACAGCACCACCCAACAGAAGCAGAACATGAGCCACATATGTAATCTAAAATTATCTTGTCGCTACATTAAGAAAGCAAAAAAAAAAAGGTTAAATTAATTTTAGTAATATATTTTAATTCAATATATCTAAAATGTTGTCATTCTGACATATATTATCAATGTAAAAATTTTAATGAAATATTATACTTTTTTCATATTGTTCTCAAAATTCTCAAAATTTCATTTTTCAATTTTATTACGTAGAATTGTTATAATTTGACTGTACATATACAGTATATTGCATGTAAATACATATATACAATACACTGCACATTAAAAAATTTACATATATGTACTGTTCATTGTTTCTAAGAACGTTTAGAGCTTTAGCTTTTAAACGTACATAGTTATTAAAGGAATAAAGCCAACCACAAAATAAGAATTCAAAAATATACATGGATAAATATGAATGGATAAAGATGATGCAGCATATATATGCAATGGAATATAACTAACCCACAAAAAAGGAGGATAGCTTGCCATTTGTGGCCTTTCATTAATTTTTTTTTTCACTGCAAAACCAGAATTTTATGACTGGCGTAAACATTTCCATTGTGTCAAAAACAGAAAAACACCTAGAAATAAACTTAGCCAAGGAGGTTACCTATACTCTGAAAACTGTAAAACATTGATGAAGGGAATTGAAGATGATCAAAGAAATGGAAAGATATCTTGTGCCCTTGCATTGGAAGAATCAACATTATCAAAATGGCCATGCCACCCAAAGCAATCTATAGGTCTAATGCAACCCCTGTCAAAATACTCACAATGTTTTTCACAGAACTAGAACAAACAATCCAAAATTTATATGGAACCATAAAAGACCCTGAACTGCCTTATACTGTCTATCTGTTTATTTGTATTTTTAGTTGGGTTAGTTACGTTTCTCGACCTTGGAGAGGTAGCCTTCTGTGGGAGATGTCTTATGTGTCCCAGAAGTACCTCCTCTCTTGTTACCCAAGGGCCAGGGTCCAACTGGTTCCAGTATAGCATCTGGCCTATGTTTGTGGATTCCTTCCACAGGCTTTGGGATTGTTGTTTTCTTATTTCTGGTATCTGCCCCCTGGTGGATGAGGCTGGACTAGAGGCTTGTGCAGGTTTCCCAGCAGGAGGGGCAGGTGCCTGCTCACTGCTGGGTGAAGCTTGGTCCTGGACCTCTGGTGGGTAGAACTGTGTCTAGAGGCAGTTTGTGGCTCATTAAGTCTGCTGATGGGTGGGGCTGTGTTCCCACCCTGCGTGTTATTTGGCCAGAGGCTTCCCTACAGGCTGTTGGGTGGGACTAGGTCTTGGTGCTAATGATCCAATCAAGATACCAGCCACGAGGAAAGCTGATGTAGATGAACACTCCTGGAATGTCCACCACCAGCCTTTATGTCCTGTGGGTGAGCCGCAGCCATCCTCTACCTCCCCAGGAGACCCTGCAAAACTAGGAGGCAGGCCTGGCCCAGGTTCCTATGACATCACTGTCTCTGCCCTAGGACCTGGGGCACAGGAGATTCTATTTATGCTTCCTAAGAGAATGAAGTCTCTGTTTCTCCCAGTCCCATGGGGTTCCTGGAGCTAAGCCCCACTGGCCTTCAAACCCAGATGTCCTGGGATCTCCTCCTCCTCCCAATTCTGGCACCCTGAGCTGGGGAGCCTGACGTGGGGCTCAGAGCTCTCACTCCTGTGGGAGGGCCTCTTAACTGTTCTTCAGCTTGTGGGCAGCCCACCCTATTATATTGTGAGAACGCCCCTCCTACCGTTCTCTCTTTGTGTTTCCAGTTGAAGAAGTTTTTTTTGTTAGGTTCCAGTCTTTTTTTTTTGATGGTTGTTTAGCAGTCAGTTGTGGTTTTGTTGTAATCATGAGGAGAGGCATGGTCCTATCATTCTTCCATCTTGACCAGAAATCCCCAAACTTCAGTTTACATTTTATTCTAACAGGGCACCTCCATTCAGACTCCAAATTTTCTTTCGTAATGTTGGATAGACATTTAGATTTTATAAAATTTATAGCTGAAAAAATAGATCCACATACTCAAATTCCTCCACATATATGTAAAAGTTTTTCAATTACTGAATCAGGATCATTCCTTGAATTTTAATTAAAACTATGTAAAACAAAAAAATTTAGTATCTCAGGCGTACTATCATATTTCAGGTATTCAAGAGCCACATTTGACTGGAGACCATGGTATTGGACAGTCCGTCTCTAAAAAAACGTATCTAAATTGAAGTGTCGCAGTGCACATCTGTTCAAATGTGACAATCATTTGAAAATCTGTCTGAAGCAACCTGTTACTACAAGTAAAACATCAGCATATATTTTGAAAAGTAAGCCATTCTTTTACAGACTAGGAAAAATATTTGCAAAAAGCCACATTTGATAAAGGATGGTTGTCCAAAATGTACAAAGAGCTCTTAAAATTAAACAGTAAGAAACCAATGACATGATTTTAAAAAATGGGTCAAGGGCCTTAATAGAGACTTCGCCGAAGAATATATACAGATGGCAAAAAAGCTTACGAAAAGATGTTCCACACCATATGTCATCAGGAAAATGGAAGCTAAAACAATGAGATACCACTACACACCTATTAAAATGGCCCAAATCAGAGCACTGACAACACCAAATGCCGCTGAGGCTGTGGAGCAACAGAAACTCTCATTCAGGGCTGATGGGAAAGCAAAATGGTACAGCCCGTTTGGAAGACAGTGTGGTGGTTCTTTACAGAACTTACCATACTTTTGCCATATTATGCTTCTTGGTATTTACCCAAAGGAGTTGAAAACTTATGTCCACACAAAAGCCTGCATGTGGACACTTATAGCAGCTTTATTCATAATTGCCAACTCTTGGAAACAATGAAGATGTCCTTCAGTAGGTGAACGTATTAATAAACTGTAGTACTTCCAGACAATGGAATATTCTTTAGTGCTAAAAAGAAAGGCGTTATCAAGCCATGAAGAAACATGGAGGAAACGTAAACACATATTACTAAGTGAAAGAAGGCAATCTGACAAGGCTGCACACTGTATGGTTCCAACCTTATGACCTTCTGGAAAAGGCAAAACCATGGAGACAGTAACCATGGCAGTGATTGCCGGGTCAGGGGGAAGGCAGTGGGAGCATGGGAGGGAGCTGAATAGGCAAAGCCCAGAGGATTTTTAGGGCAGTAAAAATGCTCTGCATGACATTATAAGGATGAATACATGTCATTACACTTTTGTCCAAATCCATAGAGGGTACAACACCAAGAGTGAACCCTAATTTAACATACAGACTTTCGGCAATTATGATGTGTCAAAGTAGATTCATCCTTAGTAAAACATGTACCACTC